CCTTGAGTGAAAGTTTCCAAATGCTGAGACAGGATGTCACAGAGACTCAGGGTGGGGGTTCCTCTAATTCTGATCCATGCTCAGCATGCCACTGCCAGAGTTTGCTCAGCAGGGATAGGATGCCAAGGCCTGTATTCTGACCCCTACTGGGGATGGGAGGGGAGCTTGGGGGGATAGCAGAGGCTGCTAGGCAAGGAGAACAGGTCACACATCCTAGCACAACGACCCAGATAGGCACAGAGGCCTGGGCAGGATGGAGTCTGGGAGGGGATGTCCCTGCAGGAGTTTGCCTGGTGGAGATGGACCCCAAAGGCCTTCCCCATTGAGTAGGTAGAAGAGCACAGGTGTATGGTGGGAAACCCTCCCGTGCTTTGAGCAGTGGGCTCATCCAGTGTTCTTAAGCACTCGGTGATTGATGTAACGGATCTTTTGAGCTATGTCATTTATAGTAGACTTTTATTACTTTTTTTTTGTACTGGAGATTGAACTCACAATCTTGTGTTGTGCCACTGAGTTAAGTAGTATACTTGTAGAACATTTATCACCCCAAGAAGCAGCTGTGGACACGTGAGCAGTCACCCTCATCTCCCTCCTCCTAGTTCTAGGTGACTCCTAGTCTACTTCCTGCTGCTATGGATGGATTTGTCTATGCGGGACCCTTTGTGATGCATGGCTTTTGGTGTCTTGCTTCTTTCCCTTGAGCACAGTGTTTTCAAGGCTCATCTGTGCTGTAGCTTGGATCGATACTTTATCACTTTTTATGGTTAACTAGTATCCACATATGAATGTTGTACAGATGTGCCATGTCTTGTGAATTTATTCGTGGACATTTTCTATTCGGGCTACTGTGAATAGGTTGCTATGAGTATTTATATACGCATTTTTGTGCAGCTGAGTGTTTCGGGGACACACCTTTATTTTATTCTTTTTTAAAAATTTTATTTAAGGAGAAAAAGAAAAAAAAACAGAAAAAGGGTACAAGTTATACAGAATTTCAGAAAAAATAAACAGTGGGAAATCACTAGTTAATAGATTACTTATTGTTATCTTAGAAATAGTTGTTCAAGTTACAAAATTAAAAGTGGACTTTCAAACAGTGAGACTGCAAACAGTTTTGTTCAATGATCAACAAAACTCAGTAATATGGTTATCTATCTTATACACTTACATATACATGCAGTTATGTCCTTTAGAGCACTTTCTTTTCCTTTCTTTGTACAATGACAATTACACATTTTGAGTTTTATTACTCCCACAGTTCTTATTATTTTTTTTTGAAGAGAGTAAAACCAAATGTGACACAACAGAGTCAGTCAAATCAAAAGGATGGACATAATACATAATGTAAAAACAAAATACAAGGTGATCAACAATGGTTACCATACTGCCTCTTGCTATCTTAAAAAGAATTGCCTATATCATCAGTTGTAATAAAATTGAACAAAACAGTAAAGAATAAAACCAAAACACTGGAGACATTACAGGACTTTAAAAGAAGATAATAGTCAACCAGAATGGGCGTCATAATGAGTCTTATTGTCTTCACAGTTGTTGCCAATACATTCTAACTTGGTACTATCAAGCAAAGCAGAATAGGGGAAAATCACTCAAAACAAGATGGTGAGGGCAATACAGGGTTTCAAATCAAGTTAATAGGAAATCAAAGTGAGTTACTATAATATATCCTGCTATTTTTATTTATTTTTTCCCTTAATTAAAAAGATAAAAATAGAAAATTAAATAATTAAAAAAAGGAGATTGAGATAAAAGAGGGCATAACAAAACAGCACAGGTCAAAACATAATCATTTAAGCAAAATAGTGTTTCACTACAAGATATCCTGACATAAAAGTAGTTACCATAGTGTCTCTTTCCTTGAAATCTTTGAGTATAACTTCGTATACTGTAGCACCAAACATATCAAGACAATGTAAAACCATTCAAGAAAATGACAGTATTACGGGGTATTTAGAATCAACTATCAGAAAATGAACAATGGTTTCTGTATAATCTCCTTGTCTATAAAAGTTTTTGTTTATATTATCACCTATAATAAAATCCAATAAGATATAACCTGTTAAGACCGATGGAGACAGAAGAATAAAAGCTTGATGGGACTTCAAAACAAGATGATACTAAATCAGCACTAGCTATTATGATGTTGTTTTCTCCAAAATAGCTGATCCTACCATCCAACCTTCTCTGCCTCATTTCTGTTGAGCTCTTTTTCTGTCATTAATTGTCAGTTTGTCTTCTTCATTTTGCTTTCTGCTCCATTCATTGTGGCCTCTCTGCCACTGTTTCTGGGATATTGGTATTTTTTTTTTTTAAGAATATCCTGCAGTATTCTCTGTAGAGTTGAATTGGTGGTTGCAAATTCCCTTAGTTCCTCTTTATCCTGGAAGCACCTTGTTTTTCCATCAATTTCTAGGGACAGTTGTGCAGGATATATCAATCTTGGCTGGAGGTTATTATCTTTCAAAGCTTGAATTATTTCCCCCCCATGCTCTTCATGATTTGATGGTTTGTGTTAAGAAGTCTGCTGTAATTCTGATGGGTGTTCCCTTGTAAGTGATCTGTTTCTCATCTCTGATGACTTTTAATATTCTGTTCTTATATTGGATTTCTGGAATTTTGATTATTATATGCCTGGGTGTAGCTCTATTTGGGTTGTAGGTGGCTGAGGTCCTGTATGCCTCAGACATCTGAGTATCTTTACCTTTTGCTAAATTAGGGAAATTCTCCTGGATTATTTCTGTGAATAGCTTTTGTAGCCCTTGTGTCCCTACTTCTTCTTTTATGTTCTTAATTCTTAAGTTATAGATCCTCTTATCATCTTCTAGCCTTTGTATTATTGCTGTTTGTTTTCTTGTTATTTTTAAGAAGTTTTTCATTTCATGCTCCCACCTTACAAATCTGTCCTCCAGTTCAGATAATCTATCCTTAGTTTCTTTCAAGCTGTTATGCCAGTTTTCGATAGAGTTTTTAGTTTCCTGGTAATCTCTTTGAACCTGCTTAATGTATTCTATGTTTTCTTTATTTTCTCCATCAAACAATTCTCCCATTTTTTTTTCTGTTCTTCCATTCCACCATCTGTTTTTTTCTTAGGTGATACTTAGCATTTCTCTAACTATTCTACTTATATCTTGCTTTATTTCATTAAATACTTCACTTTTGAACTTGTCTATGAGTCTCCGGAGATATTGCTTTATGCCTGTTGGTGCCGTGTCTGATATTGCATGTATTCTGTCCTCCTCTCCATTTACCTTTCCTGGATCAGTGTTCTCAGGATTGGGAACTGAGGACCCTTTCTTGTTGCTTCCTCTTCCCATACTTTTTGTTCCTTCCATACAAGCATATAGGAGGCCCAGTTTTTTTCTTTGTCAGTTACAGTTTGTTTGAATTGCACCGGCTAGGTGTTCCTGCCCACTGCAGTGTACTAGGGAGACACAGACCTGGGCAGCCTCTGCTGGGCCCGCCCCTCCAGGTCAACCTAGTGAAGGCTTCACCGCTAGGGTACACCTCCAGGTGCTGGGACCTGGTTTGGGCTAGCCTACTGGGTCTTAATCTGTGGCATCATCCAGGCTAAGCGCTCCACACCAATCCCGCTTGAGAGGGGGATATGTGACTAAAGTCACTGCAGTGTCCTGTTCCAGCTAGTCTGCCTAGTCCCAGAATGTCCTTTGCTGGAGCCTCCTACTCTATGGAAGGGTCCTCGTTCCTCTCACTCATTGCAGGTCGATGCAGGGCTCCCCACCAGTCCCGCTCTCGACTCCATTCGCCGATTCCCACTCACAAAGCTTTCACGTGTCTGTCTCCCTGCCATGCCGATTTGGACACAACAGCGGCAGCAGAAAATTCAAATCATGGCTTCCAGTGGCACGGGTTCCAGCTTCTGCGCTGAGATTTTATCTGTTCCTGTTATAGCACTGGGATTGCATTTCCAGTTGGTTTCTCTCAGCTTAGTTCATTCCTGGGTCGGCAGGGTATATCTCCCCTTGCTTAGGATTCCTCGTAGCGCACCATTCCTGGATTCTAAGCTGGGTATCTCAGAGAGCCTCCGTAGCTGCTATTGTCTATCCACCATGTTCTCCCAGAAGTTTTTATTTTATTACTGTCATCTAGAGACTGAACCCAGGGGCTTCACACTTAGCTACATCCCTAGCCCTTTTGAAATTTTTTTATTTTGATATAGCACTTGCTAGGTTGCTATTCCTCCTGCTTCAGCTTCCCAGAGTGCTAGCATGACAGGTGTGCTCCCCAGAAGGACATTCTGATTTGAATGGCGCCTAGAAGACCTATGGGGGGAGTGGAAGAAAGAAGATGAAGCAGAGGGAGCTGTTCCCCTAGTCTGTGCACTTCGAGAAGCAGAAAGCTCAGGATGGGATTGCAGCCTCACTGGGAGCCAGGGGTACCCCAGGGCCACCTCACCAACCGCATTGTCCTGTGAGACTGGGAAACTATTTTCTGGGCTGAAAGTATTCTGGGGGTGGGGCTGGTAATCTCCCTAGAAACCAAGCGCACACTTGTACTCCCCACCATGTTCTACTGAGGGCCGAAAGTATTTGACCTCAGAAAGAAATGTGGGCTACACATCTGGGCTGGAAAGGAGGAGTGTGGTCAACAGGAAGCTGCTGTCCAGGAGAACAAGGTGCTCAGGAAGCCCCCGGTCAGTGATCCCTGATGCTCCTTCCCTCAGCACATGTAGGGAAGGTGGCCTTGTTTACAGGAAATGCTGGGACTGGCTGAAATCTGTACAGATTCGGAATCTGTATTCAGAACAGAGAGGAAATCAAAGCTATTCTCTAACATCAGGCTTGGTAAAACCAGGCCCTGTCCTCTGTCATCTCCTGTTTTAGAGTACACCTAGGAAGATCAGCAGCAGGAAAATAAGAGAGTTGTGCTGTTTTTTGTCTCCTAAAAAAGAACGCCAAACCACAAAACAGGACTTTAATTACTCTTTTTTTCCTCCTTCTTAATTCTTTTTTTCTATTCTCCAGCCAGAAAACATTATGTTGTTAGACAAGAATATTCCCATTCCTCACATCAAGCTGATTGACTTTGGCCTGGCTCATGAAATAGAAGATGGAGTCGAATTTAAGCACATTTTTGGGACACCAGAATTTGTCGGTGAGTTCCAGGCCTGTCTCTGTCACAGAGCAGAATCTGACCCTGAAAGGTAGAGAAATCCCATGAACAAACCCTGGGTTTGTGCTGAGAGAGGAGGTGCCACCCACCATGCTTGTGTGTAAAAATGTACATTTGCTGGTAAAGCTTCTGCCACCCACTCGGTAATAGTAAATAGTTCAACTGGAAGTTCAGGGCAGCCATGGAAAGAGGCAGCATAGGACAGGATGTGTTTAACTGAAGTAAGTAATACAGCAGCTCTGGCAGAGCATTCAGGGGAGACATCCAGTCTGTCAAAATCCAGGGGTGTTTTCATGGCCTCGAGTCAGTGTCAGGGGCCACTCTGGGTAGAGGCGGGAATTCCTGTCAGACTGTTGGTGTGGGCAGGTCATGGATGGCTGGGACCACACCAAGAGCAGGGTTTTGTCCAGAGATGGGCTTTGTCTAACAATCAAGTCTCAAAAACAAATCCTTGGGGGGAAAAAAAAGAAAAGAAAAAGAATCCATAAGTGATAGCATTGGCCAATTTTCAGTAACAAACAGATTGTCACTGAATACAGAATTGGCTCTTAGGAGACTCTTTGGGTTTTTCTTGTTTTGCTTGTATTTCACAGCTATATAATGTGCCATCTCTGAGCCCCTACCTAAATTGTGATGAATTTTTCCCTCCAAGGTCCCTGAGGAACAGGCTACAGCATTTCCCTCTTCTTCTACCCTTCCTTTGAAATGTCAGCTGGAAGCCCAGGGTAACGGAAGCCCCACTAAGCTGCTGGTCCCAAAGACCCTCCCACCACACAACTGCATCCTTGAGAAAAGTTTTTAATGAAGTTCTAGGTTCATAGGAAATAAGAAAACTCACTAAAGGAAATATAAACGTCTGTTCCCTCAAGATCCAAAGTTCATATATCATAATCCTAGGGAAAAGTTATTGGAATTCTCACAAGCAAATTCTGGTTTACCACTTCCAATGTAACCCACGGTGAGAAAAAAGATAGAGCCATATCTACAACTGTGGGGAGCCAGTAGGTCGTAATCTAGAACAAAGGCCATGACCCAGGGCCAAAACTGGGTTTTAGTAGTTCTTGAACTGGCAGGAACTATGTAAATCCTGTGAGCTGGGCTAGGTGGGAGGCAAATGGCACCTCTGCAATACTCAGAGAGATCACAGCAAGAGTGCTGGGCTCAGGTAACAGGCAGCCTCCAAATCTGGAGGAATCTGTGTGATGCAGTCTGAGGAAGTGTCGTGTGTATTGGGTCAGCTGCCTCAGCTCTGATGCTGGCCTTCATCTACCTTGGGAGCCTCGTTAGCCTGACTCAGGCTTAGTAGGAGGGAGCCCTAGGCGACTCTGCTTGCACACCTGTCCCTTTGCTTCCATGTGCCATGGCTGGACCCATTCGCACTGCTTGCAGCCGAGTACCTCCCTCACATCTGTGCCTCTCTGTCCTGTGTGCCCTCAGTCCATGGGGGTAGGGTGAAGGTGAATTAAAATGGAGCAGGGGAGGTTGTCTTCTCCCAGGGGTGTCGTCACTGTGGTCCTCCACAGTAGTTACTCTGTCTCAACTCTTGCTCCTGAAATCCAGTGAGTTGAGCTTAGAGCTGGATCTGTGAGCAGCCAGACAACTGCACTGTGAGAAGACTGCTGATCATAGTGGTGAGAGACCTGCAAGAGGTAGGTCTGCAGGGACGTAAGATGTCGGCGTTATCAGCTGCTGACGTAAAGCAAGCAAAACATAGAACTAAAAGTTAGAATCATAAGAATGAGCAAGGAACAAGATGTAAAAAAAAAAAAAAGACCAGGCAAATTTTGGAAAGAACTAAATAGAGCTTGAAGGAATTCAGTATATAGTCATGTGCCTGCTGGCAAGATACAAGCAAAATAACTTCCTAGAAAAATCACCACAGTTTGGGTATCACAGCAGTATCAAATTACTGTAGGAGCTCCTTGATGCATATTCCTATTCTGTGCCTGTTTGTTGGACCATTTTGTATATTACTGTCCTAAAGAAAGCTTAACTGAATATGGTGGTGGGCACCTGTAATCCTAGCAGTTGGAGGGCTGATGCAGGAGGATCACCACAAGTTGGAGGCCAGCCTAGGCTACATAGTGACTTCAAAGCCAGCCTAAACTATATAGCAAGACCTTGTCTCCACCACCCCCCCAAAAAAAGCCTTTCATTGAGATACAAATACAAAAAGTGCCCATGGCAGTATTGTTCCAGCCATGAGGGAGAGGGAGATGGGAACCATCCATATGATCTCTGAGAGGAAAATGTATGAGAAATAATAGTTGCTATGGATAGTTACAATGAACTATTATACAGCCTAGAAAATGGAAGTCCCCAGACAGATATTTGCTGAACATCAAAAGCAAGCAAAGAATAGTCAAGTTACCATCTCATGCAGTTTGGTGCCATTTAAAAAAATTTTTTGTAATTGCCTTAACTAGTTCTTTATATATACATACACATATACCTATGTTGGTTTTTTAGCTTTCACACTAGTGAGACAATATGTGTACACATGTGTCTGATTTATTTAACTTGTGAATATAGTCTCAAGTTGATGCCATTTTTATAAAGCTAAAAAAAACAAAGCAAAGTCAGGACAGTGGTTCTCAGCAAGAGAGACAGAAGTAGGGGAGACCGGGCTGGGGATATAGCTCAGTGGCCCAGTACTTGCCTGGTAAGCAGGAGGTCCTGAGTTTGATTCCTGGTACTCTGAAAAAAAAAAAAAAAAAGTAAGAGCGACAGAAGAGAGGAATGGAGCCGTGCCCTGAAATATACTGGCTTAGCTCTGTTCCAGATAACCAGCTTTTCCCACTCTCATCCTTTCCATTGGGAGATAGTCTCAGCTCTTCCTCCTTTTGGAGATACTGCCCCTTTTGCTGCTGCCGGCCTTTGAAGCCGTCATCAGCACCTTACTTCTCTCCCACCCTTTGGGCTCCAGCACTGCGGGGTGTGGATTTCAGCACTTACTGTCCAGCGCTTATCTGTGTGGTGTCTCCCGGCAGTGCGTGGACCTTTGTCCCCAGAAGCCTGCCCTCCACCTCCACGAGGTCATCGGCTCCGCTCCTCTCTGTACCTGTGCACTGGGGATTCCACATTCAGTGGCTCAGCCCAGTTCCCCCGACCTTGTCCCATTCTCCCTGGCTGCTGCTTGGTCCCCCAGGAGCCTTGTCCTCTCCCCTCAGGCCCCCCAGGGATCCTCTGCCCCTCAGGCAGGAGGTCTGCTCTTCCTGCCAACTCCAGAAGGTAGATTCTCTTTCTCTGGCTTCTTTTCTTTCCCGTCACCTTTCAGCACTGACCTGATCATGTCCACCAGAGAGCTCCCAAGCAGATCTCATCGCGAGGCCCTGTTTCTCCTTCCTCGTGGCTTGCCCTTCCTGCATGCCTCTTCCTGTAGGGGAGTTCCTATGCCCCTCTCTGGCTAGCCAGGCCTGTTTACAGGAGGCTTCTACCAGATTAATAGGCCGCTCTTGTCTCACTCTGTTTGGCGCTGCTACAGCAAAACACCTTCAGTGGGGTAATTCATGAGAAACAAAAAGTTACTGCTCAGGGTTCAGAGGCTTGGAGGCCCCAGATCGAGGCACCAGCAGATTCAGTTCTGGGGAGGGATTATTCTTTACAGATGATGCCTCTGTCCTCACATGGGAGAAGGAGTAAATAGTCTCTCTTTCTTCCTTTCTGTGTCTGTCTGTCTGTCTGTTTGTCTCTCTTTACATGAGCCACATTCCGAGTTCTTTTTTTCATTTTGAGACAGGTCTTGCTAAATGGCCCAGGCTAGGCTCAAACTTGTGATCCTCCTGCCTCAGCCTCCTGGGGTACTGGGGTTACAGGCATGCAACACCACGCCAACCCCTGGGGTCTCTTACTAGGTCCCACCTGCAAAACTGAATCACCTATTATCCTGGGGGTGGGAGGTTGGAGATTTCAACCTGTTACCATTGGGGGAACATTGGGGCCACAGCGACCTTCTTCCTGAGAATCCTTAGAGATCCAGGTTACCTTCATCTGCTACTTGGCCTTTCCTTCTTGGGGATTCAGGCTGGAGACATTTGGCACCGAAGTCACTAGGATCCCCCACGTCATCTCCGCCCATCTCTACGTCCTCTTAACCCCTGACCATGACTTCTTTCAGCTCCGGAGATCGTGAACTATGAGCCCCTGGGGCTGGAGGCTGACATGTGGTGAGTGGTACAGGCTGACCTGGAGGTCTCTGCACCCTGTTTCGGTTGACATCTAGTTGACCATGAATCCCATTTCTCTACACTCACCTCTCAGAGTCTCCCTAGCTGGTCCAAGACTGCTAAGCTTGGAATCAGAGCCTGAGAGCTGCAGGAGAGAGGGGAAGACAGAGCCGACGACGAAGACGTTAGTGACCGTGGCTCCTTGAGTTGGGCCACCGTGTTCGCGTGGGCAGATCACGGTCATTTCCTGAGATCCATTTCTTTTTGGATTGCTGTGCACAGTGGGCAAGGCCTTTGTGACTTTCCTAAAACCCTGCTGGCTCCTCTGCAGGGCAGTTGTCATTATCCAATAGTGTAAGGCAAAGGGGCCTTGGGGGTGGAAAGCCAAGTGGCCAAGCTGCTTAGGAATAGGATGCAGAGACTGAGTGTAAGGTACCACCAGGGGTTCCCAGGGGGTTCCCTGAGGGAGGCAGTGCACAGGGAGTCCTTTACTGGCCGGGATTGGAGCCAGGCGGCCCTGACTGGACTGTCCTTTGTTTGCAGGAGCATCGGCGTCATTACCTACATCCTGTGAGTGTCCCTACCCCGGACCCTGATGTCACTTAGCAGGAGAGAAGACAGGAGCCGGAGGGTGGCCGGCCTGCTGCTGCCCAGCGCCGTAGGCCGTGTCGGTCTACACAGCCATGAGGCTGCGTGCTCCCCACCTGGCCTCTTCTCTCCTGCCTTTCCTTCCTTTCCTTCCTCAACCCTTTCCCTTCCTCGCCCTCTCTGCTGCTTTCTTTTCCCACGTCCCTGCCCAGAGCTTCCCATTGCTTGTGCAGAGCACTCCTGCTTGCCCCCTTTGTGCAGGGAGTCTTGGGGCGCTGGATGCGGACGCTGCCCCCTTGTGCCTCAGTGGCCTTGGGCAGGTATTTGTGCTTTGGTTCTGCTTTTCTCGTCAGAAGAATCAGAATCACAGACTCCCTGCCCCAGGAAGGGGGCTCACTAGGCCGTGGTACCCGTGTAGGGAGGAGCCAGCTCACGGCTGGGGGGTAGGGGTGCATGCCTAGGGTTCTTTCCACAGCTAGGGTTCAACCTCTCAGTGCCCCCATAAACTAGCTCTGCGACTCACTGCAGATCCACGGCACATAAATCCCCTGGGCAGTTCTGGGGTCCCACTGCTGGCTGCCCAGTGGGGCTCTTACTACCTCCCGTGGTCCAGCCCTGCTTCAGGACTGCTAGGGGATGGGGCTTCGGCAGAGGCTGGGTGTAACGGTTCATGTGTGTAATCCTAGCACGCTGGGAGGCTGAGGCAGGAGGACATGGAGTTCAAGCCTAGCCTGGGCATTGAACTTTCTTGTCTTAAAAAGGGCTGGGGATGTGCCTCAGTGTGAGGGCCTTTGTGTTTAATCCCCAATATAGAAAGAAAAGAAAAAAGAAAAGAAAGCTGAATTTGATGCCAAGAACCATTGATCTGTAATTCTGGATCAGAGCCAAAATACTCAGACGTGGGCTCTTGTACCCTGGGTTTCCTAGGACTCTCATCGTCGGGATGTTAAGGAACTCCAGGGTGGGCCGAATCTGACACCACGCTCTGGGTGACCTGCTCTTCCACAGGCGTGGTGCCAGGCACTCAGGATATTGACATGAAGCCTACTCACCAGGCTCCCAATCCTATCTGTGGGGGACACCTCACCACTGAGTCCCACCCAGGGAACTCAGCTGTACTGGAGGCTTGAGTGCACCTTCACTAGACAGATGGGAAGGCCTTGGCTTCCTGGGGCTGTGGGAGGCCTTCGGGGGTGGTGGGGAATGAAGAAGCAAGGTGTTAGAATGAGGGTGTGGGCATGAAGTCAGCTCTCTGGTGCAAGGGGAAGGAAAGGAGTTGAGGTGTAATCCTATGCAAACTGGGGACCCAGTCTCTGTGTTCTAACAATGACAACACAATGCCCATTAATTCTAGAGCCCTTCCGATGGCTTGGGTGACACAAAGCATTTCATATGTATGTACCCTGATTATTCATCACGCGGTTTCAGATGGTTGCCGTAATTTTCTTCTTCTTCTTCTTTTTTTTTTTAATTTTCTTCATTTTACAAATGAGGAAACAGCAGCCCAGAGAGGCTGAGGCACTTACCTAGATTTGCACAGCAAAGGGAAGGGGAGAGCTGGATTGAAACAGCGGCAGCAGCGTTCCACTGCTGCCACCATGCTAACAAGCAGCACTGGGGCATGGGAAGGACCTTCAAGAGATTCTGAGTAGTGGAAACTGTGGGACTTGGGGTAAGGGAACAGGAGGAGAGTCCAAGGTGACCACTGGGTCCCTAGCGTGGGTGCGTTTGGGAAGGGATGTCATCAAGGCACGAAGGGGGCTTGGGCACACCTGGGCAGAGCCCAGGAGCACTGGGATGTGAGTCAGGAGGTGGTGGCCCTGGAATACAGGGTAAGACACATCCTTGCTGACCTCGTGGGCCCCCAGCCCCTCAGGCTCCAGCAGCCCCTCTGTCTCTGTGCCTCTCCACCTTTGCTCAGTTTCTCCCCTGGCCTGGAGGAATCTTACATCTCCACCAGTTTCTTCAAGTTGCAAAGAAAGCAAAAAGAGCTGGCCTGGCCCCTTCCTGCATGCCCCAAGTCCTCTATCCCATAGTCTTCTGTGATGGTGTGCTTTGTTCTTGGGGGTTATAAAGAGCCACAGTTTCTCTCCTCTCAGCTTTTGAGGCCGCAGAAGGCGCTGTTGCCCCTCTGTCTTACTTACAGGCACTTTGTGAAGTGAGTTGATTAGATCCCACTGAGGAGGCCCCTCTTGGCTGCCCGAGTGGAGCCCCCAGCCTCACACTGCAGCGTTGGTCCACCCTCCCACTTCCACCCGCTTTCTCCCAGTCACGTGGTTGTCTCTTGTGCTCAGCCTAAGCGGAGCCTCCCCTTTCCTGGGAGACACGAAGCAGGAAACCCTGGCAAACATCACAGCAGTGAGTTACGACTTTGACGAGGAATTCTTCAGCCAGACCAGCGAGCTGGCCAAGGACTTCATTCAGAAGCTTTTGGTTAAAGAGACCCGGTAAGAGGACTGAGGAGGGCGTCGGGTTCTCTCCTCATCTCCGAGATGTCACAGCTGTTACCTGCACCGCTGTGTTCTCATCCAGGGAGGTACTGAAATTGGCCAAGGCTTGGCGTTCACCTTGTTTGCCGGGATCACGTGCTGAGATGCAGATAATTCTGTGTGTGTGTATGTGTGTGTGTGGGGGTGTGTGTGGGTGTGTGTCTGCTTGGAAATTCTTAGGTCCCTAGGCGTCTGGAACTTGGACGGGAGATAAAACTGAAGGATTTTTTTTTCTACTGTATTTAATTTTTAAAAATTTTGTTAGTACGTATTTGCCATATATAATGATCACATTCACCATAGTAAATTTGTATCTGCACATAATATGACTTAGTTCTTCCTTTTTTTTTCCATTTCCCTCCCTCACTTCAACCCTTTTTCCCCTCCCCATTTTCAAAAGTTTTGTTTCCATTTTCTCTTCCATTCTTTTTTTTAAACCCTTTTTTCAGGCCAGGGATTTTACTCAGTGGCCCAAGGCGCCTGCCTGGCATGTACTCGGTCATGAGTTCCATCCCCAGCACCAAAGAAAAGAAAAGAAAAGAAAAAAATCTCTTTTTTCTTCCTTTGTTCCCATTCCTATTTTTGATATTTGTCCTCCATTTTGCTCCTTATTTACCTTTTGTGTTCCTCACACAAGAAAAATAAACTGGGCGTGATAGCACACACCTATAATCCCAGCATTTAGGAGGCTGAGGCAGGGGGTCATCATGAGTTCAAGGTGAGCCTGTACTACCTAGGGAGACCCTGTGTGTGTGTGCGTGTGTGTGTGTGTGTGTGTGTGTGTGTGTGTGAGAGAGAGAGAGAGAGAGAGAGAGAGAGAGAGAGAGAGACAGAGAGAGAGAGAGAACCTGGAGAACCTGCAGGGTTTTCAAGCCTTTCAGACTGGGAGTGGCAGGAGGAGCCCCAGAGAGGTCAAACAGCTTAGGAAATAAAACCTGTTCCCTGGGATGCACAACCTGGGGATGTGGGGTCCAAAAAGAGAGTGGGCAGGGAATTTTAGGTGCTGAGTGCCCAGAGCAGGGCCTGGATGGGGCAGGAGGAAAAGGCCAGCAACTCTAGAAGGCTATGTCCTCTTGGTCCCACGGACATCAGAGAGTGCCTATGCGGGGCCCTCTGAAGTACAAGGCCCTGATCCCCCAGGTTAGGGCAGGCTCAGGAAGGCACCCCACCTGGGGATTGAGCAATGAGGGCAGAGGAGGGACCTGAGAGGTAAGAGACAAATACCGACCAGAAGTCTAGCAGTGTCGAAGGGGTTTTGGAGGACTGTGGAAGCCCAGGACAGCACTCTGCTGGAGGGGGGACTTGGACTTCCAACTTTGGAAGTGAGCTTGAGGCTTTAAGGGCTCTTCATGGGAGCTGGCCCAAACCTCTTCCCTGGTGAGCAGGGAGAGCAGTGAGTTTCCATCCACCTCTGCATTCTCTGCACTGCTGCCTTGACAGTGTGGTCAAAGAAGGCTCAGGGTAAGACTAGAGACATCACCCCTGTTCCACCACCAGATCATGAGTGTATGCTAATCCTCATTGCAGAAAACGGCTCACAATCCAAGAGGCCCTCAGACACCCCTGGATCACGGTAAGGGCATGGTTGATGAGCTCCTGTTCTGTCACCGGGGCTGGCTGTGGTAGCTGCAGGCAGAGGCTGGTGGGGAGGCCTTGGCTTGAAACACTAACCCTTAGGCACAGATGACAATAGGCAGTGGCCCAAAGGCCTGAGCTTGCTTAAATAAGGCTTTGCTACCTTAAGTTTGAATTTCATGGGCTCAGGCAGCTTAAGAAATAAAACTCTCACAAACCTCAACTGAAATCCTTTTTCTTTGGGATAATCTTACAAAACGTTCTTTGTTGGAGGACGTCACTGTCCCTTTTCAACACAGAAGTCAGGACTCCTCTGTTGGAGAGAGGCCAATGACATTAAAAATCCCAGCTGTGTAACCAGGGTTCTTTCTTTTTGACTTTTGGGACAGGGCTTTGAGTAAGAGGTGATGCTCCAGTCAGTCCCCTTGGCTTCAGGAACTGGGCTGTGAAACAGGCCTGGTGGGGAGAAGGGGCCACCACTCTGTTAGTTAGCTCATAGTTTGGTTCCCTCTGGGGAGTGTCATGCTGAAAGATGCATCCTTGCCTAACTCACCTTGTGCTCCAGCCTCTGGCTGGCTGCTGGATTTTCCAGGACTTTGCTGTTTGTGTAGTGAACAGTGCTTTGCAGGGTTGAGGTCACAGACCAGGATTCTGGGCCTGGTTCCACGGATGGATGAGCTGTGTGCCCCCCTTTGGTATTAAGAAGGAGATAGGCACAGTTGTTAAGGAGGAGATAGACAGAATGATCTGAGCTCTGAACGTGCAGATAAGAGCAGGGGCTGGGAGGTCTGGGAGAAGGCCAGATACACCTGCCTGTGGGAGGATGCCAAAGCCAGGGCCCTGCAGGAGAGGGAACACTAAGAGCAGGGCGTGAGGATTCTCTTGGGTGCTTTCTGCTGAGCATGCTGAAGGTTGCTGAGGCCTCAGGAGCCGTGAAAGAGAGACACCCCTCAGCCTCTCTGCCAGCTGAGGCTTCATGCACTCCATCCCTTGAGTGGATGCCTGCAGAGTCTTGGCTGCAGCCTGCCTGACTGCGTAAGTCCCCTTAAATGCTTTGCTCAGTGGGTGGCCCCTCTAATGGCCCTGGATTCCCTGCCCTGAAGTGAACATGCAGGCAGAACCCCACCCCACTCCACCTTTCTGCTGTATGTGGGGATGCTTCCTGCACCCTCCTTCTCCCTGAAGCCTGCTGCATGCAGTGAATGCCAAGGAGCCCATGTGTGTGCCTACCCGCAGCTTGGATTGATTGCACTTTGGAGACTGCATCCATCCTGTTAATATTCTGGTTCTCCTGTCCGAACACCTGTCAGTCAAAAGACGAAACCCGAGCCCCTGAGCAGCGGAAGACACAGACCTCACAGCTGAAAACCAAGCGCCTGAGAGAGTACACCCTCAAATGCCACTCCAGCATGCCCCCTAACAACACTTATGTCAACTTTGAGCACTTTGCCCAAATGGTAGAGGACATAGCTCGGGTGGACCAAGGATGTCACGCCCTTGCAGGGACCCATGACACTCTCCAGGACGACGTGGAGACCCTGATCTCCATCTACAATGAGAAGGAGGCTTGGTACCGGGAGGAGAACGAGAGTGCCCGACACAACCTTTCCCAGCTCAAGTATGAGTTCCGCAAGGTGAAGTCCTTGAAGAAGCTCTTGCGAGAAGACATCCGGGCCACGGGGTCCAGCCTAGGAAGAGTGGCCAGGAAACTAGACCATCTGCAGGCGCAGTTTGAGGCTCTGAGGCAGGAGCTCTCTGCAGACCTGCAGTGGGTACAGGAGCTGGCGAGCAGCTTCCAGCTGGAGAGCAGAAATGCAGATGGCCTAGGCTCTGTGCTCCCCTGGGACACCAGCGAGTCCCTATCAGAGCTGCCCAGCGGGTCACACACTGAGGAAGTCCTGGCCAGCTTGAAGCTGTGAGCGCCAGCACCTAGTCAGTAAAGCGCTCAGGGTGGTTTGCGGAAGTGCACACTCTACCAGCTAGGGTCATTTCACAGGGCTTAGGTCTGCAGTGCAGCCTTCCACCCGAGTCACCACTTCACTCATTCTGTGCCTTCTCTTGCCAACCACTTTGCCAAGAGAGAGCTGACAGAGCAGCCAAGCTGGGAAGACAATCAAAGGATGAATACCCCTCCCTCAGCAGTCCCTTCCCCAGGGGAGGGCAGAAGGAGGGCCACCCTGGGGGACGCTTTGCCCTGGGGGATGCTTGGTAGTGGGTTTGTGATGGTGGGTGCGCTCACCTCCCACTCCCACCCACAGGCCTTAGGACTGTAGATCTTGGGTAGTGCTGAATTAACCAGGGATAACAAAGTCAGTGTGGTGCTTTCCTGCTGCAGAAGCAGGGATTTAAAATGCACAGAGAAAATAATAGTGCTTTTCATCTGAACTAACTTCTCACTTAGCAAGTCTTTGTGTGTGTGTGATCTTTACTTAATTCCCAAAGAGCTCTGAGCTAGAAAGGGAGGCAATAAGGACAGGGATTGCCACCTAAGTGGTGAGATTGACTGACAGGGAAAAGGATTTAGGATCATTCATAGCCAGTCATACAGCTGACAAAGAAAGCCAGGGTGCCCGGCTCCTGGAGGTCTGTGGGAGGAAGCAGGAGGCTTCTCTGTAAATATTAAACTTTAATAATGAAGTTCAGATTCCAGACAGCAGGTAAGCAGGTGCACGTGTTTGGCCAGGTGCAGTAGAATGCAGCGCCGGCAGAGATTGTCCCAGGAGCTGTGACCCAGGGGGTGCCACGCTCCTACTAGCCCCTGTCTCTGTCTGAAGACCTACCTTTATGGCAGGAGGGAAAGGGCAGCATCTCCCTGTGCTCCATCCTTTCCTCTCCCTCAACTCCCATTTAAGGGCCCAAACTTTGTGTTGAAAATGTAGACCCAAAGGTGCTCCACAAAGGCATTCTTTTTCTCACTTGCATTGGGCCCTGAATGTCCAAGAAAGTCCATAAGAGGTTTTGAAGAATGTGGACGTGAAGATTGAGAGGCTCTGTGGTTCCTTCATGATCCAAGGCTTTGGGCGTCCCTCCCCAGGACCGGACCTTGTGACCTCATCCCCTCCTCCCCAGGAAGGATCAGTCTGTATTAACCATTAACAGTAAACAGAGCCTGGAATCCAGACCCAGGGCTGTGCCGGAAGCTTGCAGGTGGGGGCAAAGACTGCATAGTTCGCAGCTATTTACAGCTTGACAAAACACCCCAATCAGAAATCTGGATAAACTGTTATTCCCAGTTTAGAGATCAACAAACAGAGAGATGAAGTGATTTGACCCAAGTCACAATGTGAGTCACAAAAGTGGGGGCCTTCCAATGACAAATCTGTGTCTCTTTCTGCTTCTCCTAAGTATCCCCAGCTCCAGAAGTGTACCCTTTGTTGTGGAGGCCAGTGATACCCAGATTCACCCATCTGTTCACAGATGATTATCAGGCACCCTCCCTCATATAGAGACTACACTTGAGGCTAAGGATGTGTCCAGTGAAACAGTCCCTGTGTTGATGGAGTTCTTGGTCTAGTGCAGGAGCCCAACATTAGTCAAGAATCCCACACTTAGAAGACAGCTGGACAGATGCTGAGAGAGAAACAGCAGTTTGCAGAGGGCTTCCATCTGGAAGGGTAGGTGTCCTTGAAATGGGGAAAGCAGGTGCTGAGATCTGCAAAGCAGACCAGGGAGAGAGGTGTTCCCAACAGGCTATCATCTCAGGGCGCTGTGACCAGAGAGGAGCACAGAAGGCTGGAGATGAAGGCCCAGGGAAACTGGAGGGAATGAGGGAGGAGGACCATGGTGTAGAGAGGATGGAGAGGAGCAGGACCAGCAGGGCCTTGGCCATGTTAAAGAGCTCTGCTTCTGTCCACAGTCATGGAAAGCTACTAAAGGGGTCTGGGCTGGAGCTAGAGAGGAAAGGTCCAGTGAGTAGCATAGCCAGGGAGTAGTTTCAGACAACTTATGAAATGTGCATCTCATGAAACCTTTCCTTTATAATCTGATCTCCTTTTCTGAGACAGGTCTTTTCAAATATCATACATAATACTGTCCCTGAGACTTTTTTTTTTTTTTTTGGAGACCGGTCTTGTTATGTAGTTCAGACAGGCCTGGACTCACTATGTAGCCCAGGCTGGCCTCAAACTCATGGCAGTCCTCCTGCCTCAACCTCCTTGAAGGCTAGGATTACAAGCATGTACCACCATGCTTGGTGCATTGCAGAAACTTTTGCATCAAATATAAGAAACCATGATTATGAGGTGCATCATTACTTTACATACCATTAAAAACAAAGGCCAATATGGGGAGTCTAAGAGACCCCCCCCCCCACATACATGCATACATAAAGCTGTGGGTGGGTGAATGAGAAATAGAGCCATTGTGCAGAAAAAGATAGCAAGCAATTAGGTAGTACTCAGCTGTGAGCCTAAGGGGGTGAAACCCCCCCCCCCCCCGCCCCCAGCATAGGCAGCCTGGACTGCCAGCCCTCCCCAAGCTTTGCTCTTTGAATTTGCAGTCAGTGTGACACTCAAGCTGGGAATGTCACCCACCCCTTCTGAGGCTGGTGGCCCACAGGGCTGGTAGAAGCAGCACCCCCACACATACTTCCCTCCAAGCCAACATTAAAGATGTCACAGTGGCGGATGCCTGCTGACCTCTGAGGCCCAAAATGTGCATCTCAACGTCTAGGAAACAGCCCTGTTTCCTCAAATAACCTTTACACTCTCCTCCAAGACTTACCTGCCCTCTCCTGGGATGTCATATGCTAGTTCGATGTAAACCACTGCACACATTGAAGGTCCTTTGCTGTGCCAACAGGGAGTGACCTACACAGCTTTCCCAAAGTGAGGGCAGACTGACTGTGAAGGTCAAAATGTAATAAAAGAGTGACGTGGTGGCAAATTTGAATTAGGGAGATTGGGGGAGGGAGAGAGATGTGAAAGTCTTGGATCTTTGGGGGGGGTACACACTGTGTGCCGGGAGGCTCCTGGGCAGTGACCCACCCCGAACCCTCATCCTGTGGCCTTTCACAAGGCAGGACCTGCCCCAAGTCCCCTGCACTCAGTCTGCAAGCTGGGCTCAGAACTGCAGGTCATTTTCCTCCCACAGTTGTCCTCTCTGCGTTCTCGGTCACTGCTTCTCTGTTTGATGTCTCCTCAGTGGACGTTTTTCCATACAAAAAGCTTCTAAAGCCAAGTCAGAGGGAATTGAGGCATGGCCACTACCTGCCAGTGGAACTCTGCTCTTCTTGGCAGTACGCTGATACAGAGGGAGCCCCCGAGGCTGGTGGGGTGCAGCTAGTGCCCTGCCCTAGTAGCACACAGTGCAGGGCCTGATGATGCAATGGGGCGTGGAGGGGGATGTTTCATTGGGACCTAGAGGGCAGAAGCTCTGGCTGGGGCACTGTTCTCCCAGCAGCCACCCTGCTATCATGGCGGGTTTTAATCATGCTCGGACCAGACCCTGAGGCAATGCGGGACCTGGAGAGTGAGGGTGTGGCTTCTCTGCCCCACCCTCGTCCAAGTCCAGTCAGGAAGGGTGATCATTGGTCATGGATGGTTTTGCAGATGCTAGAGGATGCTGCATGAACCTCAGTCATGACGGGGAAGCCAGGGCCACTGCCTCCAGGAGCCCCAGCCCTGCAGGTGGTTCCCCCTCTCTCTGGCCAGCACCACACCACACTGTCTGCCCTCGTTGGCTGTGTGCCCGGCTATCACCCTCCCTGTTGACCTTTTGCAAATGCCTGTGGCTGAGTGTCCTGCCTCCCGTGTGAAATTCTTGGCCTGTGGAGATTCTTGGCCCGGGGAGGAATGGGCGTATGGGAGTTTGTAAGGGCCAGTTCAGGTGAACAAACACTTGATTGTGCTCCGACTGGGTGTGTGTATGTGACAGATAAGGACAAGACAGCCCCTGAATAAAAGACTCAGTATCTGGGCCAGATGGGGCCCCAGCCAACTGGGAGGTGAGAGAGGCATCCTGGAATGATGAGAGGGGGCAGCAAATGTCCTGAGACACCCGGGAGATGATTTCTGATTGAGACAAGGTCAGCAGAGGCACAGCAGGGAGCTGAGGCCTTCCCAGGGATGGGCCCCCCCACCCCACCCCAGCTGTAACCTTAGGAAGAAACCGCCAACAGAGATTTTATCTCATTTTATTTTTGTGATACTAGAGACTGAACCCAGGGCCTTCCTTTTCAGTTTGAAACAGGGTCTTGCTAAATTGGCCAGGCCAGGCTCAATCTGGAGATCCTCCTGCCCCAGCCTCCCAGAGTGCTGAGATCACAGTATTCTCCACTATGCCTGGCTTGTGCTAGTGTGGAATTGGGAGGGATGGCAGTGAGCCAGATGGGATCAGGAGCCCAGAACTTTTGAGAGGAGGTTAAAGAGCAGGAGATTACTGAGACTAAAAAAGAGTTTTTAAACTTTGTGTTATGGAAAAATTTTGCAGCTTGCGTAAAAGTAGAGAATGGTGAAGTGGATCCCACATCCCTACCCAATTACCCCCTTCAGTGGGAACCAGCTCTTGACCTGTCCTCTTCACTCATCTCCACCTACCCCTTTTTGATGGAAAATTTGGAATCCAAATTTTAACTATATCTGAAGTTAAAGCAAACTTCAGATATAGTCAACTCTTAAATTCTTTAGCATGAGTCTCAGATAAGGACTTTGTTAAAAAATATAGATATACCCTCCAGGCTGGGACCACCTCTCACAAAATCAGTGATTTCTCCATCCAATCTGCGTGCCTATTTCATACTCACAGGACACCCTTTTCTCACGGGTGAACTGTTACAGAACCCAAACACGGGTCACCAGTGGCATTTGGGTGACATCTTAGAAGTCTCTTAAAATAGCATAGGAAGGAGAGCCTTGGAAGCTTTTTCTGGGGGTGAAAAATTACTCAGAAAATTGGAAGTCCTGAAAAACAAAAAGTAAAAGTTTAAAAAAGCCGAGTATGGTGGCACATGCCTGTAATCCCAGCACTTGAGAGGCTGAGGCAGGAGGATTACTGCAAGTTAGAGGCCCACCTGGGATGTATAGTGAGCCTTGCCTCAAAATAAATATGTTTTTTAATTAAAAGAATTAAAGTTAAGGCTGGGAATTTAGCTCAGTGGCATAAGAACCTGCCTGAGCTCGAGGTCTAAATTCAATCTCCTGTACCAAAAAAAAAAAAAAAAAAAAAAATTAGAAAACCAGAGGTCATGCAGAAGTGGATGAAAAGATAAGCCATTTTTTTTACATTGTTTGTTTGTTTGTTTTGGTACCAGGAATTAAACTCAATACCTTGTGCCTGCCAGGCAGGCACTGTGCCACTGAGCTGTAAGAGAGAGTGAAAAGCGTACACACATACTCATGCTGAAGCCTAGCAGCAGTAGGTGAGGCCAAGCCAGGCGAGGACAGGGACATTTTCCCCTCTGCCCGTCTCTGCGTCCCTTCAGGTGACAGCCCGCCAGCCCTGGGCCCAGGTGGTTCTCCCACCTGGTCAGGACAAGGTGGAGACCCAGGCAGCACGGGCCTCGCCTGTGCCTTGGCTTGCTGGGAACAGAGCTGCTTGCGGGCCACCCACAAAGGGTACTTCCTGCAGACAATGAGGGAGGGGAGGGATGGGGACCTGAGAGACCATGACATCCTGTGTCATGGAAAGGGAAGTGAGCACTCCCTGCTTCCCATGAGCAGAGTCTGCGACGTGGCACCACGGGGGCTGAAAAGCTGTAGTCTGTGGGTCGTGTGCACAGGAAGCCTTAGAGAACGGTGCCGAGGGCTGCCTCTTCTGCAAGGCCAGGGCTCCGTTTTTGTCCCTTCCTGGTGGCTGCTGCTTCATGGTCCAGCCATCCACTCAGAGCTGGACTCACAGGCATGCACCATCATACCCAGCTAGACTTTTGCAAAGACTGCAGCTAAATAAACAAGACCCGACTCCAGCCCACTTTCTCTCTTCCATCTCCCCTCCCAGCATTTTTCTCAGGTGCCAAACCGCTTTTCGGAGCCAGGTCTGAACTGCCTGGCTCCCTAGAACCACTGGACCACAAGGCTAGGAGGTGGGGGTCCTGGCACACCCCCAGGGGAATTCAAAGTGTTGATTTTCTTCTAGAAACAGATGGAATGCAATCAGTGTCTCTGACTTTTCAGGCCATGATGTTGTCGAGCCTCTTAGCAACCAGGGAGGCCGCTGATTGGGAAAAGCCAGGGCAGAGCCACAGTCCAGGGCTTCCTTCCTGGCTTAGCTGTCATGTGTGGGCCAAGAAGCAATTCCAAGTGCGCATCACTGACCATCAATGGCCACAAGTGCGCATCACTGACCGTCAGTGGCCACGGGAGCCACCCTGCCTGACATTTCCCCTTGTCCACCTGTTGGCGTCAGCTGGGGGCACAGCCATTTCTCTCCTGGGTGATACGGGGACAAAAAGTGGTCCCTTTCCTGCCACTTCTTCAAACTGTCCCTGTGAGGGGTACTGGCGCCTGCTAGGGTCAGGCTCCAAGGTCAGATCCAGCTCACTGGAGAGGCAGGCATCTGTGAATTAGAGGGAGAAATGGTGATGGGCTGGGGAGGCTGCCTTTTGATCCCCTTGGGAAGATGTCAGGGCTCGGGAGTGTGGGGGAAGGGGGCTCACAAAAATACAGACCCAAATGTCAGGTTGTGACTCATGCATGGGCTTATGAGTGTGGGTGGGGGTGATTGGGGTGCTCTTTTATTTAGGGCAGTCAAAGAAAGCTTCCCTGGGGAGGTGATGTCTGAGTAAAGATCTGAACCAAGTGACAGAGTGAATATAAAAAAGAAAAGCACTGTGGGAGGCTGAGGCAGGAGGATTGCAAGTTTAAGCCCAGTCTGGTCAACTTAATAAATTAGGGCTGGAGGTGTAGCTCAGTGAGAAGGCCTTGCCTCAATTCAGCTCTCAGTACTGAAAATACAAACAAAATAAAAGAGCAAGGGAGAGGAAACCTGGGCAGAAATGCCAAGACCTGAAGTTAAAGTGGTCCTGTGTGCCAGGAGCCGATGGACTGAGGGGAAGAGGAGCGGAAGTCGGGTTGGAGGAGGCCACAGAAGGTGCCCATTGGGTGACTCAGAAAGCACTTGGTGGCTGGCGCGGAGGGAAGGCCGGTCCTCAGCAGGGGTGGCTTGTCCTCCGTCCACTTTTATATATCCCAGGTGGGACCTGGACCCTGGGCCAGGCCCACAGGTGTGCCAGATACTGAAGGAAAGGGATGGGGGACCTGGGTATGGTGCCATGTCCTCTCAATGCCCTCTTTTTTTCTTCTCTGCCCTCCCATCCATACCCACGCTTTGCTCCAACCACGGTATCCTCTTGGGGGAGAGAATCAGCCTGTCTTCTCACTTCCTACCCACTGCTCTGTGACCCCCAGAGAACTCTGGGAGTCATGGCATCATGACATGGTGCCATCACTGGGCTGGCTGATCAAGGTGACCAGGATCTTTCATCAGTGGGGCAAGCAGTCTGGGGTTTCATTGCAGTTTATGTCTTCCGCAGCTCAGGGAAACAGTTCAGCCCTGTTGAGCTGTGAAGCCCCCAGCAGTGTAAAGATCTGGGCAGAGTAGAGAATGGCGCTGGGGCCCTGTCAGAAACGTGATGAGAGTTTGTGTGTCCTCAAGTTGCTGACCAGGGTCTTTTCCCTTGCAAAGCTGCCAAGATGTGTGTCACACCAGATAAAGGAGCACATGGGGGCTTTGGGCATGTTGCAACGGAAGAGCGTTTTTCTTGGAAATTGCTTCAAAGGAGTTCACACTTCAATGGGCTCTGGAACACTTCGAGTCCTTCCAGGGTAAGGGTGGTGCCCTACCAGGGGCCTCCTGCCTGATGCTGGTCCAGACCTTGTGGAAGATGAACAGGAACGGGGGTGTGGTCAGGGGATGAGACCAGCCCTGGAAGCAGCACAGGGCCAAGG